GGCGGGGGGTTCTCATAGGCTATCTTAATCGCGATAAGAAAAAAAAGGGTTGGGGAGAAATGAGGAAATATGGAATTTCGGATCAGCTTCGGTTCTGATGTCCGAGAGGATCAAACGTACCTGTTTTTCGGACATGTAGATTGGTTTCTGGAAGATGGTCCAGACTACAGATTGGTAGCAGGGTGGTGTGGTCAAGCTACCGTCATATCTGTAGTACACTTCTAGATCTTCTGGGATGATTTCAGAGAGGACTATTGGCTCGTGTATTGGAGTGGAATCACCTATAAAACACAATGATTGTCGACAGTTGGTTACACCTTTTTTCATCATTGGCGCAAGGGAAGCTTTCTATGGGGTGCTAACTTTGTAAACTAGAACCAAATTGGGCATCAGTTGGACATGAGGGGATATATAATGGATTCAATCGATATAATTGATTATTTCTACTGTTTTACATGATGGACAAAGTTGTGCCACCGGCTTTATAACGTTTGTGATCAATACTGTTGTTTGTTTAACACATGTTACAAAAATATAACATCATTCCCGCCATGGACCATTGTAAAATATACTTTTTCTCCAAACGAATCCTCCAATGCCTTGATATGATCAGCCACTCTTTAAAAGTAGAACGTAAAACTCCATTCATTTCATTTCTTTGGACTTTTAATTACCGAATAATATGCTGTACTACCGAAAATATCCTGATTCTACGATGATTAGTAAATATAGATTCTTACCTGCGTGTGTGATATTTTCGAAATGTGACAATAATCCACTGAACTTTTCATTGTCTTCAGCAGATACCTTAAAAAATTACACAACAATTGAGGTTGACCTACACGTCGATGACATTTTTCGCCGTAATTACCTAGAGATAGCTGCCTCGGATTTTTCAAACATTAAGGATGTTGAAGAATGCAATTCTCAGTTTCATGGGATTAGGTATCCCTCAACTAAGTTACTTAATTATCCACAACTTAAACTAATCTACAACCCCGCATTATCTGATGTAACTCTGCTTCCCGAGACTGGTGGTACAAATATAAAGGGGAATTCCAAATGGGGGAACAACTGTCGAGGTTGAGATTCAAAATGCGTCACCTCTGCGGAAGTGCGAAGGCTCAAGTCTCTCTTGGAGCGTCTGAGAGAATTCTCCTACACGAAAACTATTGAAAAATGGAATTGATTTGTTGAATTCTGGCATATTTTGGGGCAAGAGCGTATAAAAATCATATTTCTGAATTTGTTTGAAAATGTGGGGGAAAAAATCATTTTTTGAGTTCAAATACAATATTCATCAATCAAAATGTAAAACTTGGCATTTCTTACCTGTACAAAGAAGCCGATGACAGCCAGACCATAAGGTTTATTCATAGCTTCACTGATATTAGAATATAGGGTAGAATGGTGGACTATGTGCATCTCCATGTCATAAGATTTATTATTTATTTTATGTTCTGAACCTCGACCGTCCACTTTACCCCAGTGAAAATGAAATTGGTCCACCATATAAGTGCCATGAAGATTTCCCCCAGATATAGTCAAGTTAGTTCCGCCGTATTTCACCTCGGCTGAAAATAAACCTTTCGTTTGATGTTGGGTCTTCACAATGCCATTCTTCATACCTTGACACAGTGAAGTCTTGAGTAAGTTTTTAACGGGATAAATAGTCTAAATTTTGATTCCACAGGAGCTCAAGCAGACAACAATCTCGACTCGCTACTGGCTTCCGACAGTGTTCCAACCCCGCCATAGAGTAAAGTATTACCGTTTACAGAGTTTACAAATAGTTACCCTTCACGGAGATCAGGGTTTATTTAGATTGAAACAGAACTAACCTGTATGTCCAAAAACATTTTCAAGATGTTGTTCGACACCCTCGATGTTATTAAATGATGAGATGTTAAAGTCGGGTAAATCTGTATCCACTATTACCTCCGCCAACTCGATGTTAATCGGCGATTGTTTGTTAAGACCACAATCCACGTACGAATTTGCCCAATAACTTGGTCCTAAATTAAAAAAGCAGAAGATATGTAAAGGAATGAGAAAACAACGATCGAACTCCAAAATGTTTCGGGAATATTACAATAACAGTGGGCGTTACAAAGAGATACGTCATAGGATAAGTCAAGGAGCACCTTTCTCTAGATTTTGGTCTTCTACTTTTAGCACCTAACCTAACTTTTCAAATCTACTATTAAAAAATCAGACTGTCCCTTTAATTTTGGTCAAATTCTGCATATCTCTAAAGATGGGTTTCCCTTATTTTCATTTGTTAAAATGAAAATGCTAATACTTTATACTTTTTAATATATGAATATAAAGTAGAGGTGTTCTAATCTAATGACTTGGAAAATACCAGTTTGTCTCATATATCCATAATTAATTCATGAATAGGTAAATAAGAAGAGAAGTACTAGCAGAATTCCAATGAATAACCAATCAAGAAAGGTCAAAAAATCTTTTTTTGCTTATCCAGACTTTTCCTACTTGGACTTGTATGATTGGTTAAAACTCTTAATTATATGCATTATGTACATTATAATATGATTAAGAATACATGATAATTCATTAGAATAACCAATTAATCAAATAGTTTACTTAATTTGACACTAAAAATTAAGAAAACCCATCTTTAAGTGAAACATCTGGATTTGAATTTTAATTAGATTAATCCCCGTCCGTATTTAGAAGATAAAATAACTAAGTTTGAAGTAACTCACCAGCATTGCCTTGGTAATCCCATCTTTGACCTGAAAAACACGATAAAGATAATTGTGTCAATATGTGTTGTAAAAACGTGATAAATAGTAGACTCTATCAGATTGCTACTACAGGGAGCGAACTTGGTGAGGGGGTGGGGGGGGGGGG